TTCTATTTTGCAATTTGAACGTAGTCTGACACGATACATAATTTTACGCAATCATTTGAAATCAACAACGTTTTTTTATGTGCGCTTTTTTCACAAGCCCCGAATCTTGTGTGGAAATAGATATTTTGTTGTGACTGAACAAGGTGTGCGTATAATACATTTGTGATAAATGGAAAGTCAAGGGCTTCAGCTAGTGCGTTACTTATGCGCGCTATTTAGCTCATTCGATGAAGTTACGGCTGCAACGACAACTGCACGGCAGCTTCGCTCCATGCGAGCCGCCCCGGTGCGACAGCTACTGCCCCGCCCGCTCCACGCAGCCGACTGACCGGCCAAGGTCACCGCCCCGTCCGCCGGGAGGGCGGAGCTTAATGGTCACGTGTTTGTGACGTCACACCTACGCACGGATAGCCTCTACTCCACTGACGGATTTACGGGGCCGATTTTAACATTACGAGGCAACGACAAGTACCCTAAAATTTGATATTTTGTTAAGAGACCATATTGACAAAAATTGGCGCTTGAGCTGAAATGTGCATTGTGAAAATTTAAAGCAAATTGGACAAATATTAAATAAATTATCGCCGAAAAACAGGGTCTCATGGGGTCTGAAATGCATAGTAGATGTCATAAACTTGGATTAATATGCTGTCAGTGTAGAGCTAGCAGGCGCTTGGGAAATGTTAGATTAATATTTGATAACGCCTTCAGTTCTACGAAAACATAATGGAAAAACATAATGGAAACCATTCAAAGGGTGCGCGTCAGTATGTCGCTTTCACAGCTCCCCAAAATTTGGAGCGGATTCAGCCGAGGATAATCCGAATAAGTTAACAGCCGCTGCCAGTCGGAATGCAAGCCCGCAGTGTCCAGATTAGTTAGAAGGTATAGATGCGCTGTGGTATACCTAAGTACAATGCGTATCTCCGAAAATAACTGCGTTGCCTTCTGACATTACCGTCATGATTCTGAGGTATAGTTGCAATGTAATCACACTCGCATAACTTGCATAAGTGCATAGTGGTCTGCCTATGATAACACACGTAACCGATGCTCAAAACGCATGACATCATACCATCGGTTATATCGGGACAGGTAGAATGAGAAAGCGATGAGTTCATCAGAGTGCACTGCCGTTCAGGACGGACTCCTTATCGCGGCAGCTAATGCACTCCAAGTCTCAAGGATGTTGACGGATCGTGCTGTCCGTGGCCCCCCGGTGACCGTCCCATGCGCCTCTGATGCAACGCGCCGTTTACAGGGCTTTTGGGGCTAATAATAGCTACCTTGAGTGTGGATGGCCCGTAACGAAAACATAAACAAACATGGAGAAGGCGGACCTGGGGAGGGAACAGACGGAGAGGTGCAGAGCAGTTGAGAGGACCGGGAGCGAGCTCCCCGGGACTGCGCTTCCGACCTCCCGGTGCAGGGCAGGGTGAACAGTAGCACAAGCCCATAGCCACCGACGCAGACCTATCGCCTCTGCCTTCTGCCATCCGTGAAAAACCAGCTACTTTTAAATCAACACCTATTTAACAACAACTCAGTTATCGCCTCTGCCTTCTTCCATGCGTGGAAAACCCGCAATTACAACATAAACCTCTAGCGGAAACTGCACGGGCTTGCACCCATTCAAGCACTGCAGGCCATTGACTGCACTGCTTTGCCTGGGCTGCTGACATCCATGAGTCATGACACAAAACCTCATCAGAGCTGCTCCCAGAAGAGGGAAACCTCTCTCCCAGAGGTAAGAGCTCAGCTCGGAGGAAGGCCTCTCTCCCATGGTGGGATCTCAGCTCGGAGGAAGGCCTCTCTCCCATATAGGTGCTGGCTCGGCTCGGAGACCGCGCGTGTCGTGTCCGGGTGGCGCCGTTTCCGCCGGCGCCGGCCGGGGGTAGACGGATGTGTCTGAGCACACGGCGGGCTCTGCTGCCGGGCCCGGCGTCTACCGGGCGCCCTTGACTGGGGATGAGCCGCCGCCGGGGGGCCGAGACGGGCCGGGTGGCGGGTACGCTGGCCCCGGCACCCGGCCACGGTCACCCGGGTCACTGTGAGATGGAGGGGGAGAGCTAGCAGTTCCCGTCTGTACCCTCCGGAGTCGGGGAAGAGCAGCTCTGTCCGTACCCGCGAGACAGAGGTGCGCTGCTGTCCCCGTCCGTGCCCGTTATAGTCAGAGGGCCGCCGCGCCGGCCGCCCCTGTCCGTGCAGCACCGCGCACACCTCTACATATCTGCGCTCACCCGCGGTTGCCGGGGAAGTGCGTGGATGCACTGAAGTTTGAACGGATTGCTTATGGAGACCGATCGGTATTTGTGCATGCTGCCTATCCGCACTGGCCCGTGCCAAAGGAAGGGTTGAAAACAACTTTGAGAAACTAGCTTACAAGCTCATTAGTTTGAGAGCATCAGCATCCTTTAACTCACGGTGTGGGTCTTCGCCATTAGCATCGCCATTGTGAAGGGCCTTTTTTGCCACACTCGATTATCTAAAAAAGAAGAAGAAGAAGAATAGAAAGGCAGAAAAAAGGAATCAACGGCCTTCAATAAGTACAGTTCATTGTTTGCTTACGTGACCGATAAGGTCACCCGAGTTCATCAAAGTTCAAAGGTAAATTTCCCCCGTCTACTTTTCCTTATTTTGACATTTTCACCGATCGGGGCATAACTCGTGAACCAAAAGGTTTCAGTGTCGTGGATTCGATAGCTTTTCAAGGGCTTTTCGGTAACATGTCCTCCACTTTGACCTCAGGTCAACGGTTTGACCACCCACAGAGGACGAACACTATCAACATAGTCAAATTTTGCCGAAACTGGTTGTGTGCGTTAATTTTAATCTAAATCAGCATATGACATTTATTTTCCCACCATTGTGGTTCCCTTTAAAACTCATCAAATGAAGAACTTAAATTTGCCTTGGGTCAACTTGACAATTTGACATTATGTCAAGGTCATGACTTGACCGGAAAAGGTCATGCTACATAGGTATCAATCGAGCGGTATTGGTGAGCTGAATATATTCCAAGTACCTAATTTCATTGTCCTACTATGCCACTATCAAAAGTTATTGTCGCAAAGCTACTGCTTACTGGTGACCTTTTATGACCTCTGACCTTTTTGAGTGACCGCTGGCAATCAGCTGCTCTCTGTCCATGGCATATGAGTGGAGGTGTCATGATTCTGAATATATCTTACATTGTTAATCTTTTTTTTTAGAAATCGGCCCGAATAGCGGTTGAAAATGCCCAGCCAGATTCTTCAAAATATGGGTGACTGATTGTGCATTCCAAATTGCTTTGAAAATAAGCTCCAACGAAAAGCAATGATTGCATACTAATGCATAGAAATATAAGTTAAGCACCAAACAGAATCCAGAAGATGACTAGATGCTCTGCACTCTGCAGGTACCTAAGATGTTAACCTATTTAGAGCCGATTCGTTTCATCAACTTTTTTCTAAATACATACGAAATATGAACGCAATTTTTAACCTAACGATAAATAGACTACGCAACTAAATACGCAAATAAAAAACTTTATTAAATATACAACGGGCTCATATTCCTGGGAGTGCTCCATATGTGAGTAGCGTGTCACTTGTTAAGGCTAACGAGGTCAACAGAGCTACTAAATATTTAATATTTGTGGATTACAAAATGCTCTTGTGGCCAGACACAGCAGCATCAAGCGTGCCACTCTGCAGCGAAAGTGTTCTGGGAAGTACACTCATTAGTGGTCAGTGAAAATGTTCATGAATAATCCGACGTGATGACTTGACTATAATAGCTCTGGAACGTCCCAAGCAGGCGTCGGAACTTAAGCACTTTGGTCTGCCATGCATAAAGAGGCGGCTAGACAAAATAATGTTGAAAAATGAAATACAAGAGATGGAACGGCTCTCCAGGCTACATGTGTCATTGTGACACGTTCATACATTCTGAGAGACAGTTTACTCGTGTCATGATGCAACTGAGAAAGGGGGTGATTCCCCTGACATTTGACAGCTTCGATATTACTTGGAACGCTTCACAAATTGAGAGACCATATTCGGTGTTCCAGAGCTTTGATTCGATTTGGTACCACCAACCGCATTTCCACAGCACTTCAGGTCGTTTTTTAGGTGTGACTTTTTCATGTTCAATCGTTTAACTCGTGCATGCTTTCATCAATTAATTAATCAATTAGCTATATAATTGATTGGTTGGTTCATTCATTCATTGTATTGTTCCGCTCATTTATTCATTCACTTTCCATTCATTCATTCATTCATTCATTCATTCATTCATTCATTCATTCATTCATTCGGTTCGTTATTTATTTTATAATTTTGTTTATGCATTCATAAGTTGGCTCGCTTTGTTTGTTAACACTTTGCTCGCTTACATTATTTCTGAAATGTATGCAATGTTATTTACCTATTATTTATTCATACACCTGTTCATTGATTTGTACATATACATCGTCAAAGGGTATATTGCAACAGGTATCCACCATGCCTTACTGACGGAACTATGCATTTGATGTCAAAAAGCGATGCAGGTACAGCACAGATTTAGTTGAACAACGTAACGTCCTGTGGTTTGTAACGTCCAATGGCTTTACATGTACGCGCATTTTGTGCAGTTATTTCAGCGGTGAACTACTATTCCAGCTGTTCAAAAAATGACCTCTTAAAGCAATATTTCACTTACAAACGATTAAGATGATTTTTTAAAGACTTTTTAGAGCTATTCTTTCAGTTGCAAATTAACTTCTTAGGACTTCTTAGTTGCTATCAAATATGTGGATTCCTTTTTGTTCCTTTATTTCTATTTACGCTAATATAAGCCTCTTTTCAAGTTCGCCCACTACAAACTCCCGATCAAAAGTGACTCCCCGAGCTATGGCATTGATATTTACAATGACAAATGGTAAACACATCTCTAAGCTAATCAGTTTCTTCGTACCTCGACTTCCTAATCATCAAATTCCCGCCCAGTGACACGCTGCGTTTCCATGTTCACAGGGCTGGAGACGTTTTTCATCGGGGGTCGCCGGTCGCCAGTGCGGACCGAGAGGCCGGCCGAGGGGGACGGGGAGGGGGAGGGGGAGGAGCCCGGCTCACCGCCCAGTCAGGAGCGGCGCGACTCCTCCTCCAGCCTCCTGCACAAGAAGGCCTGCTCCTTACCCAGCATCATCGAGCCCTCGGGCACCTCCAAACAGGTCAGTCTCGGCGGCAGGGCCGAGAGGGGATCGGGGTGGGCTGTGGGGACGGCGCACTGCTATGGGATTGGGGACTGAGAGGTCAAGCGCACGCCATGTAGTGGTGAGAGTACTGAGCAGTACTCACACCTTAATCACCAGCACTGGAGATTGTTTCGCTTCCGCTGTCTGAATAGTCTTTGTGGTGGCGTTGATTATGCTTCACTTTGTAAGGATTTTAAAGAAACATTTTTATAGGATTATCATATGCACTCAAGAAGATAATCTGCAAACGACTGAACTATTAGTTATACTGCATTCACGATTCGAATCAAATTTAGTAATTATTCGCTTATAGATTTAATTGGTTATTAAGGTCCTCCCTCGCCGTTCAGCGGAACTTCTAGCCACAGACAACGAACATCATAGTGGCATTTTAGACCATTTAGACGATAGCGTGCATTGCAGCTCAACAACTTCATAAAACATCGCTGTCCTGATGTGAATTGGATGTCTGTTTTCAGTGCAGTATTAGACCGATTTCTTGATAAATGCAACCTTCGGAGCATGCACGGACGCATTGCTTCTGCAGGGTGCACTCCCCCCTCCTTTGCGTCATGTTGCATGGATGACGTCATCACTGACGTCATCTCTGGTCAAAAACGTCATCGGCTAGCGGTCGCAGTGATTGCAGTTGTCGTTTACGGTAACGGTTCTGGAGAATCCCCACGGGTAAACGCCGGGAGAACGCCTCTGGAGTTGGCATTCCGCAGCCGCCTCTTTGCGGGCTGTGACGCTGCTGCACCGCAAGCATCGCAATGCCTTAGGAATGCAGGGGCAGACTGGTTATTGGCCGCCGTCAATGCCACGGAATATGCTGTTTGTATGGCTGGCCGGTCATCATTGCAATGCCTTTTTGTCCTTCAGCGTGGCCCATTAGTCCTGTGCTAAGAAGATGAACCAAGTAGCCTGTCGTAGCACTGAAACGTGATGGGAAGACAAGCTAAACAGTAAAGATTTTAATTGTTTGTATAAAATCATATCAGCAACGAACAATAATGCTCTCTAGACTGTCCTTGCATCGAACAAGACTTGACAATCGGCAAAAGGCACTGAAGCATAGGCACGCCATGGCATATAGGCATGCCAGCGTATCGTATAGGCACCAGCGAAAGCACCTGACAAATTTAACTCAATGGCACAGATTCACACGCACCAGTGCGTTGACCGTGTGGACCGTATTTGATGAATAACAGACCCTCGACTGGATTGGCGCTGCTGTTTTTTGTCAGTGACGTTTATTGTTTCTGTTGGAGAGAGGTCATTTACGTTCAATGGCCGACGGTCTGCGCTCGTTTCCGTTTGTACCGTGGTCACAGATTTGTTTGGTTTGATTTGACGTCACCGGCTTTGTGCGCTCGTTCTCCAAAGCATGATACGCTAAACTAAGTATGATGCTTTTGGTGCCCATCAATATATTCGACGTAGATACGGTTATTTCCTAAATGAACTCACTTCCTGGTTTTCCGTTAATTAATATCGTCACACAAATTTAACAAATTGCACTGGCTGCACATGTGCAGTAAATGGTTGATATCACCTGTCATCAAGACCTTGCATGCTGCGTTTTATTACCCCTGGTTATGATTTATGGCGAAATACCCAACTTGAAAGTGGGCTTATTAATGAGACATTCAGTCAGGCTGTGTTACGCCAGGAAAACGTCTTCACCCGTAGCTGATTTTTTATTTATGCAATGGTGCTGATACCATTGATCAGGGCATAGACCACTATACCTACCTTTATAGTATACCTATAGTGGTCTATGATCAGGGTTGTTTTACCGAAATTACTCTTCAGAAAACTGACATGACTACTATTTCAGCTGACACTGGTGACAACTATACCGCAGTTGTCACCAGTTTCATACGTTCAGTTGGAGCTGGGTAAATGTCTGGGTAGAAATCCCGTCCGGGGCCGGGGCTAAAAATTTAGGATACGCGTCACAGTATGCATCATACTCAACGACGAATAAAGCTATAAGAGTGCGAAGGTTTCACAGTGCAGGGTGTCTCAAAAGTTCGTTTACACATTTCCCATGCCAATAAAGCATATAAGAACCGGCCAAAAGTATAAGGTTTTGGTGTCTGTGTGTACACTAGACAAATATGCATGCTTTGACAACTGATTAAGAAGGTTGGAAACCAACCCCTTTGCTGTATCTCCAAAAATATTTGCCCATACCGATTTTTGTTGCTCCGTCAGCTGCCGGAGGCTGATAAAAGGTTACCAGCTTTCAAGCTCTTGCAGGGGAATCCCCTGCAGTTTCTGCGTCGGATTTAGTTTTGACTAGCTCCCCGGCAACATCCGCTTCTCCCTGAAAGCCGACAGCTTGCATGGACACCATTCATGAGTATTTTGTAGGCATTCTCTGGCGCTAACTCCTTCATGAATGACTGGCGCCGACATCCCAAGCCCCATTTTCCTTTTCAAAACGACCCCAGTCCTGAACAAACGGGAAGTGCCAGGAGTAAATTTTTCGCATCATATGGTAGCAGAATGTGTCGGACGTCTGTTTCTCAGACACATTGTGCAGATTTTGCAAATTCCAAGCGCTCGTCATTCCCCATGCCAAGACCTTCGCTCGGTTGCGGAGTGTTTTCCTCGGGAGAGGTTCTGCTTTGTAAACGGCCCAAACCTGTCCATCGTGTGGTTTTATCGGGATTTTGTGTTTAAAAGAAAATTATTCGCTGCAGATCTGCCTCTTGAAACTTCGTTAGATAAAATTTTACAACAACTGACACTTTTGGAGGGTCAGGTGTCCTCAGGGGCGCGGGAACTACTTTCCGACTGGGGGGCACACCATAATAGAGACTAACCTAGGGTACCCCCAAATCTAGTTTTCTCACCGGTTTTAGGCCACTTATTTTTCACCCCTCGGCTTTTTCAACAAAAAAAGAAAACATTTGCAAAAAAGGTGTGGTATTCCGTCTCAAAGCTGTGGGGGCACCGCCCCCACGGCCCCAGAGTTGGGGGGGGGGGCAAGCTGCCCCCACTGCCCCCCCCGGCTCCCGCGCCTATGGGTGTCCTTGTCATTGACGATTTTTGTGTTATTGTCCCCAAAAATTAGCGTTATAGATATTATAAACAATTTTAAACTATAATTTGTCTTTATTTTACGATGACCTGCACTTTTTGAAAATGGGTAACCTCTGTCAGTGAGCTTCTTGCCAGTTTTCGATATAGTTATGACCGCATTTTCAGCTGCTTTCCGGAACACGAGTCCGCTGTCGTGCGAGGGTCGTTCAAAACGCCGTTAGTCTCGCATGTTTTCGTCCTTAAAAAATTTTAGCTACCGTTTTTATGAGATGATCATCATGTTGCACTCATCCTCGCCGACACTTAGCCATGTGTCATTTCCGACTTAACCATTCCCATTACTCTTGAAACAGAGAGTTTCACAACATACCCGACTTTGCAACCTATATTTTCGTGCCTGACCCATGGTCAGAGGTGAACCCTTTTTGTGAGCTCATGAAGGGTCGAATGCACTTGAAAACAATGAGACTGCTTGAGGAAGGTTGTCACCAATGCCCATGCAAAATTTCGACTGTTAATTTCTAGTTGATTCAGAATTATTGACAAAAAAGCATGGCTGGTACCTGTCAACGAACTTTTGAGACACCCTGTATGATGCAACGGGAGGGATCCCAACCGCTTACGAATCCACTTCGATCATGTCTTAGAATCTGAGGCGCGTTCAAACGAAGCTTCTTTTTAGATGGTCGAACTAACAGTGCTTGCAACAGTTTAACTTTAAAAGTATGTCATAGTTTATAGGTATAACTGTTATGCTGGCAGGGATAGTGCAAAAATTCACATATTTGTAGTTTTGAGTCTGACGCGGCTGCAGTGACTCCTTGCCTACAGTGTGCACCGTTGCCGTCTTATCTGTTATATCGAACTGGGGACATATTTTTTTCAGTACACATATACAGTTAGCCGCTGGAAGTGTTGAGGACATTCACAAATGACGAGTTCTGCCTAAGGACAGGAAGAAATGTGGCGCTATTATTAGTGGATGTCTGGAGGGAAATGGAGGACAGCAAAGAGTCGCTCACCCATGCACATGCACGAAGGAAATGCTGAATACAATTACGTTCACTCACGCAAGAAGTGTACCTACATATACCCGTATGGAATAATCTAATCGTGCTATGAGAAGCTTATGCTTCATCCTGCAGTGGTGGAAGCTCATTCGCCGGATGATGTGATGTTTATTGATAGCTCATTTTCATTTACGTCTGTTTCCTCCCCAGACACTTCTTAAGCAAATTCATGAGTAGGTCTTTGGTGCGATTTTATGCCAGTATGCTGGCATATTTCTCCAATATGCCGGAATATTTATCTGTGGTGCTGGCATGTTTCTCCGGAAATGCCTTGGTGTTCCCCTATGTGATGAAGCCTCCCAAAGGACCGGCGCAGACGTCGTACCTATATGCACGGGAAGCCTCTGACGTCTATCGACATGTTATCCGGTCACTCGATGACATGACGCGACGGCGGCGGGGCCGGTGGTTTTTCCGCCGTGCGCGGACGATATACGGCGGCATACTTCAGGGTCGCGCCGTCGCCCCTCCCTCCGAGCAGCGTCAGTGTGGTCGATCCGTCCACGTGCCGCCGACGCACGTGGACCGCAGTATCGATGTGGTGCTCGTCTTGTCTCGCGAGTGTTTGGTTTCAGGCGCCTTTGATATAGATGTCTGAAAGTGGACGGGGAAGGCCGTAAACTGTCTTTAGGTTGGCGGGCATTAGCGAGATTCATTTCTCTGAGGCTGTGGGTTGACGGTGGACTGAAGCGAATGGATTGCCTGTGGACAGTGGCCGCTATAGTACTCTACAGTCTACACTCTGGGCATCCACTGACCCTGATGGGTACACGTTGGTCACCGCATACATAGGCCCACTAGGTATTTCTTCCCGTTCCTACCGATGCTACGCCCTACGTATGGTCAAATATTCAATCGGCCAAACAGCTCCCGTATATTTTCAGTAATGAACAGACATTATTTAGGTGTCGACGCCTTTACCCGGTCTCAGCAGCAGTCTTCGTTGTCTTTCTGCTATTCCGGCTCGAAGACATGTAAAAGTGGCGAAGAGCGCAATCCATTCGGGGTCCCGTCAGAGGTCCATAGGTACATACACATTGCAGCCGCTGCTGCCTGCTCCCTTAGCCGTGGAAGGCAGGATACTACCAGCACCAAACCACGCCAAGTTTCCTCTCTTTTTTACATCCGCGGTAAATGACCATGTGGTAAAAGCTTCCACAAAAAGCCGAGACAAAAACCCTGTGACGTCAAACAGTAAAGTGATGTAAGTTGTGTCAATACCGCTATCCTGTCTCAGAAGTCTTTTTTACGCTGCTGGGTCTAAATTGTCCGGAGACGAGAGGGACCTCGTTTACAAAACGCCGGCGACCGCGCTATCGCGTTTCACGCTCAGTTAAACGTAATCCATTCTGTTGGCTCAGTTTTGTTCCGCCGGTTTCCGTGGATTTCTTCATGTTGATGAAAGCTGTGTTTCTAAACGCTAGTTTAGTCATAACCCTTTTCTCGAATGTGACGCTTCCTATCGATAAATAAACGGTTCTCTGTTCTAACGCTTGCCTTTTTCTGCTTCCAGCCTGGTTCTCCGGAGCTGACGTCTACGCTGGACCGGAGAGGACGGCGGCCTCGTCTGCGGACGATCCGCACCGATACCGACCTCCGAGGTCAGCTCACGACCTCGGGTCACGACCTCAGGTCACGACCTCGGGTCACGGCCTCGGGTCACACCTTCGGGCGGGTCAGCCGTGTGCTACATCCGCTAGCCGCAGAGTGTTTGCTGGACTTTATTTCATAAATATCTCACAGTTGTAAACGGTCTGTTTCAATATAACTGTGTTTTGTTTTAGGTAGGTACAATTTTCATGTTATGACACGCTAACCAGGGCATCTGGCTAAAACAAAACGGGGAGGTTTCAAAGACGGACATCGCCGCTGACCTTTCAACCTGACCCCGCCCCCCTGTGACCCTGGTCTGACCGGCCTGGAGCAACTGACCCTCTCTAACCGCTTCAACCTGCTCCTGCCCCTGACCTTGTCACCCTGCCTCTTGTGACCTGGCCCTTCTGCCCAGGGGCAGTTTACCCACGTCGCTAACTAACCTGACCCTGCCTCCTATGACCCTGGCCCTACTGCCCTGGAGCCGGCGGCCGGTCCGTCGGCCCGCTCCGTCGGGCCCGTCGCGCCGCCGCCGGGCTGACCTTGGGCCGACCATTGCCCCGAGCCGGGCCAGGGCCGATCGTTACCGACAGTTGGCTGCGCCGCGCTAAATCGGGCGCCCGTGAAACCGGCCGCCAGATTTGTCCGGCCGGCCGGCCGAAGCCTTACGCGACACACAACACGGCCCCGGGGTCGGTTTTTGTCCGTGTGCCAGGGCTGGGACTCGCGGGCGGTGCGTGCTGGTGCGGCACTGCCGGCAGCCCACCCCCGCCGGCCGCCGCCGGGAATCGATGGACCTGGTTGCGGAAATGGGGCCTTGGGACGGCGGCGGCGGCGGCGGTGGCTGGGGGCGGGGCTCAAAGGGGAGACGGTGCTGCACTTGGGATTCAGAGGCCCGTGACAGACTGCTGTTAGTGCATTCATTTTCCTCATTGGACACAGGCAAATCATAAGCCAATGGGTCATCTTTGTTCAAAATGTTATTTTTTCTGACCGTTTGAACTCTTCCCAGCTTGTGTCTTCAAATATGTCTCCACACAATTTTGACCTTGCGTAAACATCTCGATGTTTCAATTTCTCGATGTTGACCCAGGCCTGTGACGTCGTGATCCGCCGTGCTCTTGACCGGAGTTCGTGACGTCACGTTTCGCCTTGTCCTTGACCCGAGTCTGTTCTGCGTGTCCACAGGTCGACTGTGCGGAACGACGCGGACGCGGTTAACGAGCGGCAACTTTTGGCTTCACTCGCTGCCCGAGGAGCAGCACCCGCCGCACGTGAGTTGGGGGCCTCACCTAACTGACCAATCAGTGACCTTGAAACATATGAAGCATTATTCTCCTCCCCCCCCCAAAAAAAAGACGTTCCAATTTTCTTACGAAGGTAGAGTTTCTTCATTTGTGATTTGGCTACCTGATTATTGTGAATGGGAAGAAACGGCGTTTCACAATATACGTCATGCGAGGTTCTTTTTCGTATATCGTCAAAAAATATTTCTTACTCGCCTCTCGTGGGCCACGGGTGCACAGGTACTGCAAGTGCATAGGTCCAATTTTTGTTGCTACCAAATAGTTGCAGGTTCAGCAGAGGTCGGACGTCTGGGGACTCACCGGAATATAGGCTATCGGCACGAGTCGTTACGAGAAGACCCCTTGGGGCGGGACCGTCTCTTGTAGAGGGATGAGTGGGGAAGATGATTGGATGATAATGGGATGGTGATAGTGGGATGATGATACTGGAATGATGGGATGATGAGAACGAGATGGGGATGATATGACGGAGAGGACAGCGTTTGACGTACCTATTTGGAGTGGAATGGACAACGAGCTTTGGCTCATTCCTGAGAGGAGAGGAATTCCTTATAAGGGCAACATAATCGCTCCTCGAACCGACTAACACGAAAACTTGTGCTGTGACACGATATCTAAAACGACACCACCACTCACTTTACGGGATGTCCGATGCATGAACGGAGCAGGAGGGAGCCTATTGATCTTTTCGGGACGGAGACGGTCAACAGTAGTGCCTGGATATCACCAACATGTAATGCATTGTATGCATAGTGAACGCGCCCTGTGCTTTCAATATTCATTAGCTGGACATCTATTTACATATTTTATGGGGCTTACCAAGAGATCGTAGAATAATCGAGCCTAACGTTTTAAACATTGTGCTCGTCCAACAAGAAGCGCCATATGTCAGGCCTGATTGTCGGATAGTGGCACGGTGCGGGTCGACCTTATCTGAGTCGAGTTTGGGTCCAACCAGGAGGACCCTACTAGCTGAGAGGGACACACCCTACTCCGCTGAGAGGATGTGTCTGTCCGGGACCGACTCCGTCAGTCGGGGAGGGGTCTGTGTACCTCAGTGGCGACTTATCTGAGCCGGGGCCGCGTCGGCAGGCGGCCCACTCCGAGGCTAACTACACAGCTAGGTAATTGGCCGCGCCGCGTCCGACAGAACCCATGGGAGCGGGCCCATCTCCTGATTACACACACACACCATCGGCTTGGCGAGTTGCAGCCCCCAGTCGGCCGGCGCCCCGTCCGGAAAACACGGGGTTTCTCGCTCGCCCCCGGTACTGCGGGCGTACCTGCACTGAACCAGTGACGGGCGATTGTGCAGGATCCCACAGGGCACAACACATTAATTAGAATTACCGTCAACACCCGTTGGCTACTGGTGCAATGGAAATCCCATTTGCGGATAGGGGAGGTGGTAGATATGCGAAGGAGTTACCCGGTACTGTGCCTTTATAACGAGCCCTTCCATTGAAGTTAGAAGAGCTTTGGAAACTTTACGCCTAACCAGTGACCACACAGAGACATTCTGACTTCTGAGTATGATTCAAAAAGAAAAAAATACAGATTACCGTTGGGCTAACACTGCACACCCTTTCTTTTTATAGCGAAAATAATAAAACCCTTTTCGACGAATTCCCCGCTTAGGATACGATAAAAGGCGAAAGCCTTTTAGGCAACAGCCTCTTAGGCAAAAGCCTTTTAGGCTTCTGGTTCTTATCAATTGACTGTTATGGGCATTACTGAATAAATCTAGGTGACATTCGATCTCTTCTGATATGGCCCCAAGCCCTGTGTTCGAGAACCCGTCTGTCTTTCAGTGAAGTCCGATTACCATTGAGTAGTGTCATCCTGGGGTCGGCTGACGCACCCGCGAGCACACCCCAGTTTCTGCAGAACGCTGACTCAGAAATGGGTGTGTGTAGACCGGGAGCCGATTTCGGGAATCCGCTCCACCCCTGTCGTTATCTGTAAAGCTACACAATTAGCACATCCCAAAAGCGGATTAGCCGAGACGCCGTGGGAGCGTCGCAATGCACGTGTCAGCGCCCGTCTCTGGGAGGATTTACCAGGGTCTTGTTTGTGCATTTTTTCTTAATTACCCCGCAAAGCTCCTTGTTTGTGAGTGGGTGTGTATAAGGTGAGAATTGTATATATTTCTGGTATGAGTGATTCATCTATTAGTTCGTGTTGCATCTGAACTTTGTTCTGTGTTTTGTCAACGTTCCTATCCTAGTGAAGATGTACGAACTGTTCGTGAAAAACTTCCACTAATGAAACGGTCTCACATCCTCTGTCGTTTCACCCACAGATCACAGAGCTGAACGGAACGAAGCCCGGCGACCTGCCTTCCCACCGAGTAGCAAACTTCAACATGTCCAGCCAGTCCTCAATGCTGGATCCCTCCGCCACAGGTAACTACATCGCAGCAGGGAAATCCAAAACGGTGCAAACGGGCTAACCACTGATACTGTGTGATAAAATGGACGGTTAGAGGGCCTACAGCTCCAGTGATTCACCTCGGTTGAGCGGCTGACGGACTTCTCCCAGTACCTCAGGGCCATTACCATCAAATGACATGTAAACTGTCCTCCGCTGTGTGTGTTTATTTTAAAAGGCCGTATGTATCTCTGTACTGGTGTGACTGTGTCGTGCCAGCTTTCGACCCCGGACCCGGCTCGACTGCCAGTCCCTGTTGTGACGATAGATGTCGCTGCTCGGACACTTGAGGGACGTAATGTCGTGTTATGTTTGTCAGACCACGTAGCGTCAATAGTACAACCAACCATCAATCAGACCCTTGTAGAGCCGTCCGCTGCGTCCCCCTTGTGTCCCCCTGTGCCCCCCCCCCGAGTCTCCCCTCACCGTCAGATCGTGTGAGACCTCTGCACCACTGACCCGCTCCCGTTCCCCAGGCGTTCCGATACCCGGCGCCGGAGACGACACCGACCTCCTCGGCGGCGACGGCGACCGGGCGCGGCGCGTCAGCCAGCAGCAGATGCAGCGCAAACTCAGCGACCTAGAGATGATCAAGTGCGTGCAGACCATCACCAGCAAGGCCAACTACTTCATCCATCCGCCCATCGACCGGCTGACGCTGTTCTTCGACAAGCCCGAGTACGAGCGGCTGTACCGGATGCAGCACGCGCGCCGGCACCACGGCGGCTCGGACACGCTCTCGCTGCCCAAGTACAACAGTCTGGTGGACACTCTGGTAGCCACAGCCGTGTTCGTGGTGCTGACCGCCGAGCTGTACGCCACATTCGAACCTAGCGTCGGCTGGGCAGTGTTCTCCGGTGTGGCGGCCCTGTGGCTGGTGCTCATACAGTGTATGATGTGGCTGCGGCTCACCTCGGACGTGCCACGCGATCTGGACAAGATGCCGACGCGGTTCGAGCTCGTGTACACGTGGTACACGCGCTGGTACCCGTTTCACGCGGTGGGCGCGAGCCTAGTGAGTCTGCCGGTGGCAGCCGTGTTCGCGAACTGGTCGTGTGACGCGTTCGAGAGCGACTGCTCGCACGCCGACCTCTACTTTCTCATGTTCCTCGTGGGTCTAGTGCACTTCTGCAACTTCACGCAGCTGAACTGCTGGATGAAGAGCGGTCTGGCGACGCTGTTCGCGGCGGCGATGGCGGCCCTACTGTGCGGCGTGCCCTGCGACTGTCCGATGGAGCCGGTCGGGCCCGCGGAGCCGGACGGGGAGACGGGCGCCGAGGCGGAGGTCGAGCGCCGACGCCTCGTGTTCTCGGCCTCGTTCATAGTCGGTATGGTCGTGGTAGTGGTGCTGATCTGGATCCTGAACCGTGAGTTCGAGATCAGCTACCGGCTGGGGTTCTGTGTGAGTCTGACGGCAGCCCACGACAAGGCTGAGGTGCAGCGACTGGAGGGACAGGCCGACTGGCTACTGCACCAGATCATACCCAGCCACGTGGCCGAAATCATCAAGGAGCAGGCCAAGTACTCTGAGAACCACCGCGACGTGGCCGTCGTGTTCGCCAGCATCGTCAACTTCAACGACCTCTACGACGAGACGTACCACGACGGCCGAGAGTACATGCGCGTGCTGAACGAGATCATCAGCGACATGGACGACCTGCTGAAAAAGTACACCAGCGTCGAGAAGATCAAGACGATCGGCAGCACGTACATGGCCGCGTCTGGCCTGAACTCGAGTCAGCGCAACGAGGCGCAGCGGCCCGACCAGCACCTGGTCGAGCTGATGGAGTTCGCCATCGACCTGCAGCGCACCGTGGCCGCCTTCAACGAGACGCTGTTCGGCTTCACCATGGAGCTGAGGATCGGTTACAACATCGGCGACGTCACCTCGGGCGTCATCGGCACCACCAAGCTGTACTTTGACATCTGGGGTGACACGGTCAACATCGCCAGTCGCATGGACTCGACCGGTGTCACGGGCCGGATCCAGACTACGCAGGCGTGCGCCCAGCTGCTCGAGCCCTACTTTGAGTTCGAGCGGCGCGGGGAGGTGTTCGTCAAGGGCAAGGACAACATGGTGACGTACTTCCTGGTGGGGAAGCGCGACAGTGCGCCCGCCGTCAGCAACACGGTCAGCTAGTGCGGCGCCACGGGCCATACTAAGGGCAATATTTTTGTGATGTTCCATGTATTGTGTCGCATATCGCTGACGCTGGCGGTCACTCGCCGTCTTCATACGCCATACCACAGTGAGTGCCGTCGTCGGCCGTCGTGTCTGGTCGGCGTCGGCGCCGACAAGCGGTGAGCGTCGCCGTCGTCAGGTCGAGCTAAGAAGAGGTAGCTAGCCGAGTGTGCGCGCGTGCGTGGCCTATTTATACGCGGAGGGGCTGGCGCAGCTGGACGGGCGGCGCGCCGGTCGGCAGTTGGCCTGATGCATTCCTGTGGGCGGCGCGGCTGCGCTCCGCAGGCCTGTGCGCGGCACGTGCTGCGCCCAGTCCGACCACGAGCTTTCTGGAGCTGCCTCAGCTCGGTGGCGGCGCGGCGGCCGCTCCGCCGGCGCACGGTGCGGCCGTTCCCACTCTTGGAGCCCGTCCGGTCAGTAGGGGAGCCGCCGCGCGCTCCGCCCACACCGTGGTGATCAGTCCAGTGACGTCACGCCAGTTGTTGTCGGCTGCGCCAATTAGGAGCCGCACACGGCGATCGGTGTCTTTGTTTGTGACATGTGCTGTACGTTTTCACTCGCTCGTTTTTGCAAATTGTTAAATGGCGTTACGTTTCACTGTGCTGATAATGAATGTTGACAACTGATCAAAGGCGATATGGTAGCTGTTGCAATGTCGATTTTTTTAATAGTTCAAATGATAATGGGAGTCATTCGGGTATATGATTACGCATGCCAGCTGATGACTGTAGCACTGAGCGCCAGTGGGCCCAGTGATCAGCTCCTTATTAATTGTTGTGCTATAGTGTCCGCGTTGTTGTGTATTCTTTCATATGAAGACAATGTGACGCGAAACTGGCTGCGTTTTAGCTGTTCCTGACATAACCATGCCTCATCGATTCGAGTCGATCTACCGTTCCGCCACTTCTGTAGGCCTTCTGAGCTCTGTATAGCGAAACTGTTCACTTCAATACTTCTACATGAACAAACACTTTGTGTTGAGCTGCAGCGTCTGACCGGTCACAGTGTGTGTCTGTAGGGGAGGGGGGGGGGGGGACCGCCGCTGCCCCGGCGTACTGGCAGGCGATGTGATATGCCCCGCGCTGCCTCGCACCCGCGCCTGTCTCGGCCTCCCTCGCCCTGTGCTGTTACAAGTGCCTCGCGTGTGCCCCCGGACGCCGGCGCGCTCCTCCCATCCGAGGACGTACGCAGCGAGTGTGCGTGTGTGTATGTGTGCATGTGAGTCCGTGTGTCGTGTCCACGACTGTTGGAGGTGCTGCCAGAGCTACTTACCGCGTGTGCCAAGGCTATGAAGCTATAATGTTATGCCAGCGTCGGAACTTGCATACCTAAATGTGGTAGGGTCCGGCGAAATCCACCCGTTTGTGCGGTGCCTTGTTGCTTGTATTCAGGCTGGATAATAAAGCCATACTGCTCCCACCCATAGCTGACTCTGGGGGCTGCGGCCCGAACGTATGTAGGTACTATGCTCTATATTTAGTCACCACGAGTATTCACAAATGAGAAGTACCACTGCCACCCCACCTCGCTGAGCGGTGAGCATACTTTGCATGGCCATGTTCCGTGCTGTATGGACGGACGAAATCAGGGAATACCTCGGGTGGATCAGCTTATGAAATTGGGAAGCATTCACAGCAGTACCTACTTAGCAGTTTTTATGAATGAAGGTGCCTTGACGGGGCTTATGCGTAGTGAGATATAGGGCCTTGGTATAGTGAGTTCAGAGTTTGAGACGGTGATCGACGTTCTTGCATCGTTCTCTTTTTTTGTTTGAGAATCTATAGGCATGGATTTTTACTATGCCTTATTACGGAGCGAGCGAAGCGAGCGTAGTCTTTCCTTAGATTAACGGAAATTTCTGAGTATGAGCGGCCGGCCGGCCGTGGTCACGCTTTTGCGAGGCTTATATCTCAGCAACCACTTGACCGATTTACATGCGGTAATTTTTGTAGGGTAGCTTCATTCCTTCTACCAAGTATTGGACTATTCCCGTTGTATGTGAGTGACCCCTTATGCACGTGCCACGTGCAAAATGAAGAGGTGTCACTTTTGTAATAGTTGCAATATCTCGGTAACTACTGGGCCGATTGCGCTGAAAGTTGGCATGTAGGTAGGCACCCACTAGGCAATGCATATCCATGTGCCAGAGTTGGGGTGCTGCTGCACGTGCGCACGTGCAGAGGTCGATTCCAGATCTCGAGAACGGCTGGACCGATTGCGCTCAAATTTGGTACACGGTTACGGAGCAGTTAGTAGGGTGCCGTGCACAAGTCAGTTGGGACCCATTTTGCACGTGCGCACGTGCAGGGTGCCGCTTCCAGATCTCGAGAACGGCTGGGCCGATTGTGCTCAAATTTGGCACATCGCTAGAGACCGGTTAGTAGGGTGCCGTGCACAAGTCAGTTGGAGGTACCCCCTCGCAATTTCGCACGTGCAAGGCCCACCCTCTCGCTCGCTCCGTTAGTCGCCCCAAAAGGCGTTATACTGGTATTATTTTCATAAGGACTTGTAACTATCATTGCTATCTAATGTGGTCATTTTTATTCCATTAGGTGTTGGTACATGCGATGAAAATGAGAGCCACGATTTCCGGTCCCCTCCCATCACCGAGGTTTACGTTACGACGCACGGGCTGACGTACAGCAATGCGAAAACGGAAAAGATTTTATCGGCCGCCAGGTGTCAGGGCTATCACCTTGACAGATGGCGCTGGCAAAGCTCGCAAACTAATAGAGATGGGTCACGAATGTTCGCTACGAGGTACTGAGTAGGATGTAAGTTTACGATTGAGATAATTTGTACACTGGTTGTTGAGTATGTGTGGGAATAAAAATTTATCTTTTATTTTTCAAGCGTGAATAATTTCTGCTAGCACAGTGATTTTCGATCCCACGCAGGGCCTGAACACAACAGTGTCTGTACCTCAGCGCACTTGTCCGGACTATGCACATTTGCTGAGGGTCTTGAGCTTTATTGATTGCACATTGAGAGTGAGCCCTGTTCCTACAATGAAAGTACTATTTTTGAAAGCACATCCATTTGATCAAAAGATCACGAAGTATATGCCTCCCGTGAGCACGCTTGCTATTTATTTTCTTATGCTTATAATGTGGATATGTTGAGCGGCTGAAAAAATAGCTCTGGATTCAGTGTCTTCATTCAATTAAAAAATGTTAACTTATATGATTTTAAAGAAAATTACGCAAAAAATGTCTTGATGAATTTATGCGGCAGTTTCATCAGTAGTACTTTCTTCTCGAAAGTACTCGCATCACATCTCGACCACCTCTAAATACAGGTACAGTCGCCATTTTGAATAGTCCGACGGTGAGTTTCTTTTGTGTTATTTGTCAAGGTTTTTGATACGCTTGTGTAAAATGTTTAGTTTTTATTATTGGGAACATAAAGTTTGAGTCAAAAACTACTCATCTCTGTCTCATCTTGGTATTTTTGGTGCTAAAGAGGAGTGTAAGAGCCGTCCGAAAATTTGACCCGGATAGACCGAATTGTGGCGCGACCTTGCGCTATCAACAAGGCGAAAAAGTATCTTCCGAAATTCTCTGTTTTCGAGGTGTGTTTCGGGTGGATATGGTAGATAAGTGTCTTGAATTTAATTTCTGAGTAGTTAGGTGCTGAATCTGTCTGCAGAAGAAAGGTGAAATATTTATTTTGTCATTTGTGCTTGTGGTGTAATGTTTATATTTCTGAATTAAAATTATGGATTGTTCATGATTGTTTTGAGTTTTTACATTATTTATGCTTATATAATATTGTTCTGTTTATGCCTTTGGTAAATTGGAAGTTGGTAGTTTCTTTCATGCTCAAGGAGTGCAAGCAATTATTTTCCGAGATTCTTAGTAAACAGCATGATTGACGTAGAGAATGTACAAGCATTGGAACTTTTACTTGTTAGAATATTGCATTCATTAGTAATGCTTATTTCTGACAGCATGTTAACCACACAAGCAATTAGCTAAATAGCTAAATAGCATTAGCTTAATGATTGATGCTTTGCTTTTTAAACTTGTGTGCTTGTGATTTTATCTAAATGTTTTTTTTTTGCTACTATTTCTTAGTTAAGGCAATAACATGCTTTGTTAAATCAAGAACTTGCTCCATTTTATGCATTTTGCTGTCAAATGTTTGTTGAAGTAGGCATGTGATTCTATGCTTGATGTTAAGTGGCACCAATTTGTACCTGTATTTTTAATCTGTATTAAAAAACCCTAGTGTTTATTCATGCATTGTCTGACTTTGTGTTTGAATGACTGTGATAAATGCGTATGTCTGCATTCTGCTGTACTGTGTTGTGGGACTAGCTGGAAGGTAAGATACAGTAACTGGGGTCCTATTTTAATTTTTTATGAAGATATATATCCCTCAACAGTATTTTAACCATTTTGGATTCAATAGCTTATTGTAATACAATAGAAAGCTGCAGCTCCAGTATATTTGAACTTGCTCAGCTTGCTTTCAACTTATTTTCTCTAAAAATCCCTAGGCATTTTCTCAGTCTCATTGTATGTTGCTGCTTCTTTTAGAACTTGATTCATCCATAACTCACAGCAATGCAAGATATAATTGAGTACACACTTGATAATGCACAGCTTTTATCATTGTTTACAAAACTTGCACTTGTAAAATGTGTAAGCTGTTTTCATTATCATGTTGTGATAATAATTATTAATTTTCAAAGCAATTTGTTTGCTTGTGTGTTGCATGCCTATCTTAAAGGGACCCTCCCACCTTCAAAAAAGTTAATGAATTGGCATGAAAGTGATGTCGCTCGGTTCAGAAAGAGCAAAAATGAATATCTACCAAATTTCATCGAAAAATATTCACCGGTTTTCAAGATATTAGACCTTTACTTTTGTTTACTTTTTGGGATCTCCGCTGTTCCTAGCGACTTTATTTGAAAGTGCGGCATTTGTTGCGCGCAAAGCAGCATATACCACCGCGTGCTGCCAAACGTTTTAGTAAAAGATTTAAAAATCGTTAGATCTCCGCTGACGTCACAAATTCTAAGGGGGCATACCAATGCATTAGCCCCTTAGAATCCGAAAACTGCAAGTTTGAAATTCCATATCTCCGAATTAAAGCATTTTTCGATGTTGTGAATGCCCAAACCGGTATTTTCAGGCCATGGCCACCAATTTGGCTATCTCAACTCAAAACTAATGTTAAGGTGGGAGGGTCCCTTTAAATTGTTTTGATCACTAATGCCATTAATAGTTAAAGCATACAGTTTTAATTGGACTTAAAGAAGATAAGGTGTCTCATATTTCATCAAAAGATGTTAATTTCTTGCAGGAATGTGTTCTTAGTCAGTATTTGTATCTAAGTACCTTATGAGATAGGCTTTTTCAATAACGTACTGGCTACTAGTTAACTTCAAATTTTGTCCCAGACCTGTATTTCTGTGCATTTTTCTATGATTGTGATGCTGCAACAAGCTTGAAGCTGGACATTGTTTCAGTTTGATGCATGTTTATTATTTGTCATGAATTTCATCATGCTTCTTATTTCACTTTTTTGTCATTTTATGCCCACAATTATTTCAGTACATTCTGTTTTTATTGTCTATGGGCCTTCCCCTACACATTCTCATTTTGTTAAATGACAAACTGAAACAGTCCTTTGTAATATGGTTTGATAAATAACTATAACCTGCACTGATGAAATGTCATTATTATATTCAGCCACCAATAAAGGCCAGCCATAATTGGAATTCCAGGTTGACAAGCACCAGATTGTTGTCATAATCAACTATTTTTTAAGTGTGCATGGAACATGGCGCAGTGATAAAAGGTCAGCATTGCTATTATCATCCAGTCTCAAATATATAGCAGACAAAATGTTTGTACTGGTCAATGCTCTTCCTGACTCAGTTAATAAATGTTGTATTAAAGATCCTTATATTTAATCAGGATTTTTAATAGATAAGCATATTGCAGTATTTGCTTCATAATGCAATTTATTTCATGACTTCATGATGGGTTGCAAGTTGAAGTGTGACCCAATACAGAACTTAGTGTTACTGATGTGTTAAGATTCCTCACTTATTCATGACTGGAAATGAACTGTGTGGTGTGGAGTTGGCAGTGTCTGAAAAGTGGCCACCCCCTCCAGATGCTTTTAAACAAACAAAATGATTATTTGAAAAATTGACTCTAAAAAATGAGCATTCTTATTATTTGCATGAACAGTGTTCACTGAACACCTAGCTGAATGACCAGTCATTATGCAATGCTCTCCATCTAGAGTAGGTATGTGAAGAACAAAATGTATAAACCTGACCACTTGACCTGACTTGACCAGTCATCTTGATTTTTCAATCAAGTTTTTGGTGGGGACTGGTGGATGGCCCACCAGCAGATCCTTCACAATCCATATCTCTCAGCATATTCTTGGTAATATGCTTTCAGAATCATTTTCTTATTAACTTATACCCATGCAACTGTGAATGCTGAAATCGAAAATCTCATTCTATGAGCTTGAATTGCAAACCACTTTTCCTAGCACTTTGAGTGAACTGTAGTATAATTGATATGAATATCCAAGTTTTCATTGAGGCACTAAGTACAGTATGTCTAAAAAGAATGTACCGTCGCCACTACGTGGCGCTGGTGTCGCGAGCCGGTAGTTGGCTGAATCCGCACCAGACCACACATTCCCAAGCGCTAGGTGACAGCTGCGCAGCGGCCGGTAGTAGCGTAAGCCCGAACCTTCGTGACACGACCCCGGGGGGGGGGGGGAGGGAGAGAGGGAGGGGAACGGGCGGGGCAGCGCGTGCAGGGAGGGGTGCTCCGGCAAGCTGGCAGTTGTCGCGGCCAAAGGTCAAGGGGTCACACACCAAGCGAACGGACGCTGATGTGGGTTCGTGGGGATCGTGAACTTGTGTGTGGTAGGTGCGTCTTGCGATGCACGGGTGATACGCCATGGGCCTAAGCCAAATGATTCGGAGGAGAGCTGAAGAAAAATACCTGGTCAACTACGGCGAATAATGGTGCTGAAAAATGGAAAGTATGGGTCAATGCAAGCCTTCATGACTATAAACTTCTGAGGGCGCAAAGGCCAGCATTGAATAACGACATCCGGATCGAAATTAGCAATGATTTATAATTACATGCCGAAGTAATAGCGCTGCAAAACCCACCTAGTAAATTGTCAAGTCGGATTCATACCGACTTGAATTAAACTATCCTAAATTAAATTGTATATAAGATCTCTAATCTCTATGCTTTGACCAGCTTCGTGACCTGACGGGCTGTGACCTGACCTTGACCCGAGGTTAACACCTTAACTTGATCTCACCCGAAGAAAAAGTATACAATTCGACACGCCTGAATTAGACAAACACGATGCTGCTAAAATCGCGGATCTGCGATCATGTTTAGCAAAGTTATTTACCAAAAACCGAACCTGTGCCTTGGGCCACTTCACCTAACCTCAGAAGTCATCGGCTGATCCTAGTCCTTAAAATCGGAGACCAATCGCTGCATTTCGTAACGACGCGCACGGGCACGATCGTTTCTTTCGTGAGGCTCTAGCTCATTAAGGGGCGAATCGGCAAAGGGGGTTGTTCCCTCACTTCCAACCCCCCAAAGCCCCCTCGGTATTCAGAAAACCTGAAGGTCTGGTGAGGGTTAACCCTATTAGTGGCAGGGGGGGAGGGTTGTTTTCATCCACCCCTCAGGTTTTTCGGGAATATCTCCGAAACCGCTGAAGCTACGATGCTGAAATTTTCTGACTTTTCCTAAAACTAAATTGGGCACATTCCCTGAAAATTTCAAGTTCATACCTTTACCAGGGGCGGCTCCAGAGCACTGGGAATTGGGGGTTCCTGTTCGTGAAGCGGGTCATTTGGGCGAAGATCACGATGCTGATGTATTATAACTGTATGCACCAGTTTTACGAACAGTGAATGAAAGGTATCATGTGATAACATATACAAAGTTATTGTGCATCCTCTTTTGACACGTTTTTGCTATAATAGGCGGATCCAGGCGTCCAAAAAGGGGGGTTATGTTTGCCTCCCAACATAGGTGCCCTGACACCGCCTATGCATGACCAATGCAATTGTAGTCGTTCTCTCATAAGAAAATTGTAACATAACAAGACCATTACCACCCTTTTTAGAAACAGTACCAACAAAAACCTTATTTACTATACTTTTTGTGTAACCCCAATCTCAATGATCTGTATCCGCCTATGATTTTTGAAAATGCATATTTTTAGGATCCATGTGAATTCCTGGTTCATTCTCTATCGATCGGCAAAAGTTGCGTTAAGATTGGTTCAGTAACCTGGCCGTGATAAACAGTCTAAAATGTATCTGCAATTTGCCCGTTTTTACCCCCCTCTACCCCCCTATTGACATTTTTTTAATTTTTATTTTTTTTTAGAAATGTAGATCACGTTGAGCGAAATCGAATGCCGTTTGAATTTTGAAAATCGGCCCGTTAGATCTCGAGATATCAAGGGGGGGGGGGGGTCGTAAACAGCCCCCCTGCCACTAATAGGGGTAGCCAGGAGCCTGCCACTAATAGGGTTAAAACGTTGCTCCTGAACGAGGAAGAAATGTAAAAGTCAAAGCTCTATAGACGTCCTGTAAAAGTGGCCATAATAAACAGATTGGTTAGAGATAAGATGCTTTTTAAACGACTTCCTCATATAAAATCGGGTGCTGGGACCAATCTTATAAACGCTTTAGAATGGACAGGGCGTCACTGGCTAAAGTTTGGGTGCAGAAAACGGCTATTAAATGCAAAATGGTTTTCATGCATTTCAGTCAATTGTATATTGACGGTCCCAGTGGCCGAGCTAAAAAAAATTGGTAGTGTTTTGCATCTTTTACGCCCTAAGAAACTACACCATCTATTGAAGTGGACGGGCTTATTTGAATGGGAGGGCGCATTATGCGTCAATCGTGTGCTTTCGTTTGTTTTGGACTGTATTTTACGACATCCACTGCTGGTATCACTATTAATATTATCTAATGCCGTAAATACGACAGCATTCCATTTATAAGATTGGGCCAATGGAGTCGCGCCCTGCGAGCTCGGTTTTCCGCTCGGCCGCTACGGGCCGAGGAAGTCGGTCTTCGCCTGAGGGCAGGACGGAGGTCAGCGAGGGAGCGCGGGGTCAGCCAGGTATCGCCCAGTGCCGAGCGGATGCCGCTCCCTCCCCTCTCTTCCCCTCTTCTCCCCTCCCCACCTCGGTATAGATGGGGAGGGACCGAACTGCCAATGACATGAGAGCGGTCAAGGCCGCTCGCGCGGCAGCGACCCTGGCGGCCGGGTGCCGCAACTGGGATTCAGCCAAGTTACCGATTCGCCTCCTGTGGGAGAGCCAAACCAGGGGACATACTTTTTAGACATACTGTACAGGGCAGGGTGGTTTATATGCTAATGCAGGGCTTGCCATAAAAATTGGAGATCAATCATTTCAGCACTAGATCATTGCATCTTTGGGTGACAATGAAAAGTGCAACCTTGATGCCCCTTAAACCATCAAAGCAAACCATCAGAACATTAAAATCCAGCAAGGCAGCATCATCAGTCATCACTTGAATGTTCAGTGCTCATTGCTGCAATACCCAGTCCATCAGTTTTCCTGTGATATACTTGTCTTGCTAGTATGTGTCATCCAGTCCCAGCCTTTTCTAGTAATTGTGTCTAGCTAGCTATCTGCTTTAACCCGCGCCCCGCTGGGCGCTGGACTATTCAGCCATACGCGCCCTGCTGGGGAGGGGGGCAGATTCTGCCCCCTGTCTAACTTCCGAACCGATGGTCGTAGAAAGACGGGGAAAACGGCAATCGAAAGCTCTCAACAAGGCGGATCTTAAGAGCCCATTTTTTTGCTCAAGTAGGTCAGAGGTCAGGTCAAGGTCAGGTCAGGTCAGGTCACCAAAAACAAAATATAGAAAAGGGCATGTGCGACACATGTTTTATGGGTAATTTTGTTCATAAAATTCAATAGGCACACTCAATAAGTGATATGGACCACCTCTGGATGAATTTCAGGTCGAGGTCAGGTCAAGATCAGGTCAATCATGGTCAAATTTTGAAGTTGGTTGTTAAGGCCTAAAAAGGTGTCTATCTGATGCAGTTTTTCACGGCGAATTGAATGGTGCTATTTTTGTTTCCGCATGAGGTCTAGAACTTCCAAAAAATCATTTTTCAAAATTGTTGTGTGTCGTGATGTCTCAAATTTTGAATAACTCCCACATTTTTTAACCGATTCTTCTGAAAATTGGTATGTGGGTGCACATAGACCACTTCTCTGAGATGTATTCCTTTTTTTCGATGCACTCAAAATTTTGGATTTAATAATTTTTCCCAAAAGTCAGTTTTTTTAAATATTTGGCCAAAATCCAAAATTTTCAAAAACCGAGATAGCCATTTGATAGAGAAAGTAAAATCACGTATAACCTTTTTTGTTACGTCTTGATTCCTTTAAGAATGAAGATGTTAGCGGCGTTTGAAATTTTGCCGTTTTTGAGGCGAAAATGGCGAACATGACGTCACTTAAATGTCATTTTCTCAATAATTTTTCGACGGATTTCGCTCAAATTCTCAGGGAACGTGTCAAATTGATGTATGATAAGGTACTGAAAGTTTGACTTCGCTGGCGTAACGCTTTTAGAAGTTATTGGCGAAATTCTGGCGAAAATTGGCCATTCTGGTGCATTTTCTGGTGCATTTTCTATATCTGTACCTATGCCAAGCGGATACTATCATGGAATGCCTCACCACATATCCGCCGCTCGTGTCCGCCAGGTTCGAGCTGTCATGGCCGCGCTGTGGCTGGACGAGTAGCGAGCCGCCGGTGTGTGTGTCGCGTCACAGTGCAGCAGTGGAGTCCGTTGAATGCAGCGGAGATGGGTGACCACCTCGGTGATGGGCCTCCCAGCAAACGGTCCAAGTTTGGAGACGGCTTCGGCTCCTCGGGCCTGGAGCCGAGCGGCAGCAACGGTGAGTGCCAGCGGCCGAGTGACACGGTCTGGTTGCTTATTTGCATTGTTTTGTTTTACTTATGCTTTGATTATTATTTCAGTAAAGTTAATGCTACTAACTGCATAAATTAGCATTGTGATCGCAATAAGGGGACCGCGATGATCGCCAATGGGTCCTAAAGAGAATATTTTTCATGTTGTGATGTGGGTTGGTTGCTAAGCTGCAGGCCGAAGTTTACTCTTTTGTTGTTTGCCTTGGTCAGAATAGTTGCAGTGTGGCCCTAGAGTCGACGTTCCCGTGAACGTTAACAATCAGGGCAAACAAAAGCACTTCTTAGCTAGTTGAATAAATCAGATTCATCGGAACTTGGAAGGCTTCATGATAGGCGATGCATAACCATTTTTTTTTTCTGGAAATTTGAGCTGGCACCTTTTAGATAAGGCTGTGGATTGTAGAGATGTCATCAACATTTTGGCCAAGTGAACTAACTTGTGGCATGATCTTCACACGTCCTGACTATGACAATAGGATATCTTATTTTAGGGTAACATCTCCCTTTTCACCTGCCAGTGAGAGAGCTGAATCGACGCAGTACTTACTAGTGTGAAATTTGATACATTTTTAGATTGCTTTGTGGTAGGTATTTGTTAGATGACTGATGTCAAAATGAAGGATAGATATTTATGTTATTTATGTCAACATCTTACCAATCAGTATGGTTGAATAGTATTCCAAAGCTGAATCTTATTATAGAATGTCATCTAATTGTGTCTTTCCGACGTCCCTTAGACCCTAATCACCGCCATTTATTCCATTCGTATTTGTGGGTCTGTAATTTTTGTGTTGCTAGCGCGCCTTGGCGTGGCGCCCTCGCTGCACCCCACTGACTGTCGGCGCGCGGTGCCGCAGACATGGGCGTGTCGCTGGACTTCTCCTCGCTCGAGTTCTCGCTGCCGGACGAGCTGGAGACGGCCGGCGCCAAGCTGCCGGGCGCGCCGCAGTACGGCGCCGCGCCCACGGCAGTGTCCGTGTCGGCCGGCGGCCCGATGGTCAACGGTGCGCTCGATTCGGGCCACATGCAACACATGATGGCCGGCAAGCAGCAGCAGCTGGTCGGCGGTCTGGGCGGGCCCGGGCGGCCGGCCGGCGGCATGGCCAAGGGTCTGCTGGCGCGACCCATGGACGCGCCCGGCATGCAGCAGCTCAACAGCGTGCACGGCCGCCTGCCGCTGTCGAGCGCGGCCGGCCTGCCGCCGCAGCCGGCCGGCGCCGTCAGCCTGCAGGCCAGCGTGGCCGGCGGCGTGCGCCAGGCCGGCGGCGTGTGGACGGGCCGGCCGGCGGCGCCGCAGCACATCACCAACGGCCAGCCGGCCGGCGTGACGCCGCAGCTGCAGCACCAGCTGATGCAGCGACAGATGGCGCCGCAGACGGGTGCGCTTCCTCAGATGCAGGTCAGTCACAGATGTTTTAAGGACTGGTTGGGTGGTGGAACACTTTCCAGGCGGGTGTTATAGGACGTAGATGTGTGTGGCAGGTCTCAAAAGAAGTTTACTGTTATTTAGAATGCTTTGATTTTCATTGCCTGGTGCGCCTTATCTTTTTTAGTTTTGTTTATTTTAGCACAGTGTCTCAGGGCGTTTTTAATGTAAGACTATTCATATAAGCCTTGCGTGATAATTTACAGCAACTATCATATGTTACCAAATGCCACATTTTTTAATGCTGCACGTACGCCTTTCTTACACAAGTTGAAGAGAAAGCTTATTTGACCAGCCCCCAAGCTGATGCCCGCAGTCAATATTCAGACGCTAAATGTCCAGTCTCCCGCTGTGCACTGACACTGGCTGTCTGATCTGGCTGTGCACGCGCAGGGTACTGTGAACCAGATGGGCGGCCAGCAGCTGCCGCCCCAGCACAGCTTTAATTTCGCCGGCCAGCAGCAGCAGCAGCAGCGGCTGCTCGGTCCCTCGGTGTCGGTCAGTAACGGCACGGCCGGCGGCGTGTACCCGGGCCCCGGCGGACAGGTGCCGCAGCGCTTCGCCAGCGTGGTGGCCAGCAGCGCCAGCTCGGTACAGCAGCAGCAGCAGCTGTCTGTCCAGCAGCAGCTGCAGCGGCAACAGCAGCTGCCACTGCAGCAGCAGCAGTCCCTCCAGCAGCAACAGCAGCAGCAGCCGCCGATGCAGCAATTGCAGCTGCAGCAGCATAGGCAACAGCAGCAACAACAGCAGCAGCAAGCACAACAGCAACAGCAGGCGCAACAACAACAGCAGCAACAGCAGCAGGCGCAGGCACAACAGCAGCAGCAGCAGCAGCAGCAGCAGCAACCGCCCGGTGCTCGCGCTCCCTCGTCCACTGGTGATCCCGAGAAGCGCAAGTTGATTCAGCAGCAGCTGGTACTACTGCTGCACGCGCACAAGTGCCAACGCCGCGAGCAGACGGGCGGAGACCATCCTGAGGTGAGTTCCAGCAGCTCAGCTCATTTACTTTCCAGGCTGGAATTCATTTGGTGCTTTATATGAAGTTCACTCATTTACTTTTGTAAGTTGAGGTCCTATTATCAAATCCTGTGCTCTATTAGAATATGCTGGAATGACATTTACAGTGCAGCTTGTATCATTTTTGCTCTCAAACATGAAGATTATGTTAAGATTGAGATGTGTGGTACTTGGAACTGAGCAGTCCCATGCAACCACTGACATTTGCGATCTCTGTATTTCAGTGCAAGCTGCCCCACTGTCAGACGATGAAGGACGTGCTCAACCACATGACCTCGTGCCAGGCCGGCAAGGCGTGTCGCATGCCGCACTGCGCCTCGTCCCGACAGATCATCACCCACTGGAAGACGTGCCACCGGCCCGACTGTCCCGTCTGTCTGCCGCTGAAGCAGGCGGAGAACCGGCGCGGTCAGCAGCCTCGGCCGCCGGGCGCGCCGCCGGCCCCGGCCACCGCCGCCGCCGCCGGACCCAAGCCGGCCGCCGCGCCGGGCCAGTTCGGCGCGCCGGCGGCCGCCACCACCGGGCAGCCGACGCCGCCGCCTCCGCAGCAGCCGCCGCAGCTGGAGAGGCCGCGCCAGCTGCCCGGCTCGCCGGCGGCGCTGGGGGCCGAGCCGGTGGCCTCGGCGGCCGGCGTGGGGCCGGCGCAGCCGCCGCCGGGCGCCGCCGCACCCTCCGGCGGCCTGCAGATCAACAGGAACGACCTGCCGAGCTGGGCGACCGACCACGGCTCGGACAACGCCACCACCGTGAGTCAGAGGCGCGGCCAGTGGCAGTGCTATCGGCGGGGCGCCAGATTAGGAGCTATCGTTCTTAGCGGCCACCAGTGCCGAGGATTATGCATTTGCTATGCACAACGTGCAGCCTTGAATATTTTGCATTTTGTTAGGTTTTGTTCTCAGGTGATGGTCTGATGTGTGCCATATTTGTATGTTTTTTTTTTTAAATAATTTATCAGCTTGCTTTTATAAGCTGTTTTATCTTATCAGAATCATTTCTGTTACCCTATGAAGTTCCAACACCTTCATTCACTTGATATGCCATTTTGGCGAACAACATTTTTGTTTGTTTCTGGTTTTAATTATGCGCGTCTTGCGTCCCCAGGCGGGTAATGCCGACTTCCGCGCCATGCTGGACCCGGTGAAGGCGGCGCCTGTGCACAACACCAAGGAGTGGCACATGCAAGTGACGCCCGACCTGCGCACCCACCTCGTCAGAAAACTGTGAGTTACACCGCCGGCGCTGGACGGGCTCGGAGTTACATGAGCGGGTGGGCTGAAGTGGGCTGTGTACTCTTTATGTCGCGGGCATCGATCTTGCTGTTACCTATGTAAATGTTAGGTGATGAGTAAGCTAGCAGGCACGACTTTCCGTGTGTCTGACGCCTGTCTCATGCTTGGCTGCGCCTGCTCAGTGTTAACCCGTTCCGTCCCGCCCGCAGTGTCCAGGCCATCTTCCCGACGCCGGACCCGAGCGCAATCCTGGACAAGCGCATGCACAACCTGGTGGCCTACGCCAAAAAGGTGGAGGGCGACATGTACGAGATGGCCAACTCGCGCTCCGAGTACTACCACCTGCTCGCCGAGAAGATCTACAAGATCCAGAAGGAGCTGGAGGAGAAGCGCCAGCAGCGCCAGGCGGGCGCCGCCAAGGTGTCTCCGGGCGCGGCCGGCCAGCTGCAGCGGCCCATGGCGCCGGGCCAGCCGCCGCCGCAGCCGGCCGGGCTGCGCCAGCCGGGCCTGCTCGGCGCGCCGCAGCCCACCACCTCGCTGGCGCAGCTGGCCACCTCGCTGGGCCAGCCGCCGACGTCGCTGGTGCAGCAGCCCGTCACCTCGATGGCCCAGCTGCCCACCTCCATGCCACAGACGTCGATGGCGCAGCTGCCCGGCTACAGCGGCGCCATGCCGGCGGTATCGGACCCCTCCCAGCAGCTGCCGCAGCAGACGATGCCGCCGCCCCAGCAGCAGCAGCAGCAGCAGCAGCCGGCGGCGGCGCAGCAGCAGCAGCTGGCCTCGCCGGCGTACCTGCAGAAGCAGCAGTTCACCAACGGCCTGCCGCCGGCGGTGTCGGCGGCCGGGCCGGGCGGCGAGCTGCGCACCTCTCTGCCGTCCGTCTCGGTGCCGGGCGCCGCGCCGGGCTCCGAGTCGTCCACCGGGCAGATGACCGGCCAGCCGCTCTTCACCAGCTCAACCATCAAACAGGAACAGGTGAGGGTTCACTACCAGAGTAGCTTGTGTCTTGTGTTGCACATTTTTTTTAATGTAATGTGTGTTTTAGATCTGTGAGCTGTAATTGGTACGATATTTCTTACGTCTAAATTATTGAGTGGTTAAGTGAGAGCAATCTTACGGCTGTGTGTGACTCGTGTGGGGTAAAATTGCGTTTAAAGTTATTGCAACCATGTTCGCTACTCAAGTCTGACTGCTTTAGAAGGTTCACTTGAGCTCAGTTCACATAACGTCAGGTTAAATAATGCTTGTTTATAATGTTTTTGTTAAAAAAAATTGTGTCGCTTGCATGACGTCCAGGCTGGCATAACAACAGCAGGCTTATGGGTGCTGCATTTTTAGAAACTAGAATGGCCCTTGTTTACTTAGCTGTCGCCTCTGAGTAACGGCCTCCTCTCCCTATTATCAGGAGAACTCTGCATTCGACAACCTATTGCGGGACTCGACTCCGGTGCAGTCTCAGTCGCAGCCGCCGCAGCCCACGCCGACCCCTCCGGCCACGGCCGGGCCGCAGGCGCCACCTCCCGCGCCGCCGCTGGCTGAGGTCAAGATGGAGACAGACACGGCGGAGAGCGGCGGCGCGGCGCCGCAGGGAACGCCCGGCCCGGCGCCCCCGGCTGGCCCACAGCCCCATGTCGCCGGAGTCAAGGCGGAGCCGGCGGAGGTCAAAACAGAGCCCATGGACGAGAGCAGCTGGGACGGCGCTGTCGTCAAATGTGAGTCACCGGCACTTCAGAATAGTCCAATGGCAGCTTAGGGGCTCCCTGATAGCACAGTGGTATCATGGTGCTTTACCGGGATGATTATGAACATTAAGTGCTGATAAGTTTTGTGGTGACCTAGTTTGTGGTAGAGATGGTTACGTTAATTTGGTCACGCTGCACATCGTTTGTAAATTACTTGATATGGCGTATGTAGGGTTTGTCGGCCCTATTTGTCCGTCCACTCATCGCTGTCAATGTGTGTCTGCGTGCAGCCGAGCCTGGCACGGTGAAGGAGGAGCGCTCCAGCCCGCCGGCGGCCGCCACGCCCTCCACGCCTGCCGAGTCGGCCTCGGCCTCCGGCTCGGCGGCCAACACGCCGGCACCCACCCCCGGCGGGTCCACGCCCAAGACCGAGAAGAAGGTGCACAGACAACGTGAGTATGACTGACGGCCTGCCCAGGACTGAGTCAGAGGGCGGCGATTTGGGGATCGTGGATCGAGGTTCCCGAAATTCCACAGTCCTCGGCCCCATACTGGTTTTGAGATATGCTTGCTGTTTTGCGCTAAATATCGAACAGTCGTTGGGGATCGCCGTTTGTTTTCGTGCGTTTTGTCGTGAACTTCGAGTTTATATTTTTATTCGAATGCCAATTCAGTATTCGTATTTCCATTTGTCTTTGGATTTGGACATTGACAGGATCTACCACGTCTTGTTTCCTTGGTAATTAATTATTGCCTCTGTAGTCAACAGCAGCTACTTTTTCGCAGGTATGTTTCTGGCTTATTTGGACGTCCATGGCACCCAGCCGTGAATGCTGCTATAGCCCGTTGCTTGTCCCAGACTCGGTGTAAGAGCATTACCCAACGTCTAACACCATGCTTGTCTCTGTCCGGCAGTGTTCTCTCCGGACGAGTTGCGGCACGCGCTGATGCCCACTCTGGAGAAGCTGTACCGCCAGGAGCCCGAGTCGATGCCTTTCCGACAGCCGGTGGACCCGGGCGCGCTCGGCATCCCCGACTACTTCGACATCATCAGGAAGCCCATGGACCTGTCAACCATCAAGAAGAAGCTGGACACGGGGGCCTTCAAGGATCCGTGGGAGTACGTCGAGGATGTGTGGCTCATGTTTGATAACGCCTGGATCTACAACAGGAAGACGTCAAAGGTGTACAAGTTCGCTTCCAAGGTACGCAGAACGTATTTACAGAAAAGGAGGTTGATCGTTGCTTTGAGTCTTTGTACTTTTTGTGCAGCGAGCAAACCAAAAAGGAGTTCGAAAAAACGGCAAATTAGATTCGACTTTTATCTGCACTATTTTCTCCTCATAGGCTTTTCAACATCGACAAAGTTGCAGAATTCGTTCCATCCAGATAATATAACGCAAACTTTTAATGTTGCACGGTAAGGTGTTAGCTGCGATCGGGATCGGCGCAGTCACGAGCTATTATCTAACCTCCGCCCGTCCCCTCCGCCGGCAGCTCTCGGAGGTGTTTGAGCAGGAGATGGACCCGGTGATGCAGCAGCTCGGCTACTGCTGCGGCAGAAAGTACACCTTCCAGCCGCAGACGCTCTGCTGCTTCGGCTCCAACTCGCTCTGCAGCATCCCCCGCGACGCCAAGTACTTCAGCTACCAGAACCGCATCACCTACTGCGTCAAGTGCTTCAACGAGATCGAGGGTGACACGGTCAGCATCGGCGAGGGCGAGCCGACCCAGCAGAACATGTGAGTAGCGACTGGCTGGGACGACTAGAACGCCTGCACGGGGGTGGGGAGCTCTTGCACGATCCCTTATACTTGGGTTGTCTTATTCTATGTCCTTGATATTGCTAGGAATGTGCATTTTACCGCCCTTAAGATTAAGTTTCCGTGCGTCGAATTTACGGGACAAAGCTTTGAAGCAAATGGGCGGCGGCTGTATTAGGTCGTGCGTCACGACGCTCTGCATTTGCGTCAATTACCTACACGATAACACCTTGGCGTGTCGCTCGCCGCCCGCAGGACCATCAAGAAGGACGCGTTCGTGGAGCTGAAGAACGACAAGTTTGAGATGGAGGCTATGGCCGAGTGTACCGACTGCGGCCGAAAGCTGCACCAGATCTGCGTGCTCCACATGGACAGCATCTGGCCGCAGGGGTGAGTGGCACCAGACGAGAGGGACAGACGGACGGGGGCAGTCGGCGCTGCGCCTTGTCCGTATGCTGAATTAGCGCCGGGGTTTAATTATTTGTTTAGACAGTATATTTGAAATCAGTTGGTGTTTATTGATGTTTGATATTTCAGGAGATTGTGGTGGATAGTTTGTTTGAACTTGTCAAATTATTTGAATTGTTGATTATGATGCCTTTATGTTCCACAATAGTTTCAGCGAATATTGTTCATGAATTAAGTATCTGTTTGTCTATCTGCAGCTCATACTCAACTAACCTTGATGACTTATTCATATCGTCCTACTTTGCATTAGTGTTTATCATCGGCCGCATTGGAGTATGACCTTGCAGATTCTTACGAGTGACGATCCATCGTTCCATTTCAGCTTCACCTGTGATAATTGCCTTAAAGCGAAGGGAATGAAGCGGAAGGAGAACCGCTTCAATGCCAAGCGTCTGCCGGCCACCAAGCTGGGCACCTACATCGAGAACCGAGTCAACAACTACCTGAAGAAGAAGGAGTCGGGCGCCGGCGAGGTGTTCATCCGCGTCGTCTCGAGCAGCGACAAAATCTGCGAGGTCAAGCCGGGCATGAAGGCTAGGTGAGCGCGGACTAGCAGACAACACTGCTGGAGGACGATGGTGTCTCTGGACGCTGGCGGGGCGGGCTTGGGTGGCAATGGACGCAGGCTGGACGGGCTAAGTCCTGGCCTAAGCCTGATGCCAGAGCCGAGGGGTGTGCGGAATGGGCGCGGATGGGACGTGTAGACTCGGAATATTATGTTTTAGCAAAGCCTAAGATAAAGGACGTCGAATCGGTTTTTAGATCGCGCAATTTGTGACTTCCGTTTTTGGTCAGCTTTTCAAAACGTCATTCAATGTTCGGCATCGTCATTTTTTAGCAATATGACCAGTTGGTTCTCAAAGTCGCGAACACTACACGCGACCATTCGCTTAGACATATTTACACGAGCAACTCCTGCAATTCTGACCCCCCCCCCGCGCGTGCAGGTTCTGTGACGCCGGCGAGATGCCGGCCAAGTTTCCGTACCGCGCCAAGGCGCTGTTTGCCTTCGAGGAGGTGGATGGCCACGAGGTGTGCTTCTTCGGGATGCACGTGCAGGAGTACGGCTCGGACAGCCCGCAGCCGAACCGGCGCCGCGTGTACATCGCCTACCTGGACTCGGTGCACTTCTTCCGGCCGCGCCAGTTCAGGACATCTGTGTACCATGAGATCCTGCTGGCGTATCTGGATTACGTCAAACAGCTCGGGTGAGTACAGATTACAGAATGTGTGTCGCCACAGTGGGCGTCGATGGTTAGTCAGGTGTCAGGCGCACTGAAAACTTACGATACCGCTGAATTAGCTGTTATGTTTGTGCCTTTTCCTGCAGTTTAATCGTGTCGAGACTGATCAGCCACGCGTATTTCTGGCTTGATTCTTGGCTGAAATGGTTTTTGCATTGCGCCGCCGTCCATGAGAACTAAAACGTGAATATTGTTTCAATATTTTTTGTTTTGTTATACATGTCAGGTTGAGTCAAATGGCGTTATCACATTTGTTTATAGAGTTGTCGGCCCCGTGTGCTGCGCCTAGTGCTGAGTCCCGTGTAGTAGCGCTGCATATTCTGATTGAGACTGTGTGTCGCCGCAGGTACACGATGGCGCACATCTGGGCGTGTCCGCCGTGCGAGGGAGATGACTACATCTTCCACTGCCATCCGGCCGACCAGAAGATCCCCAAGCCCAAGCGGTTACAGGAGTGGTACAAGAAGATGCTGGACAAGGGCATCATTGACCGCATCGTCATGGACTACAAGGACATCCTGAAGCAGGCGGCCGAGGACTCGATCCGCACGCCGGCTGAACTGCCCTACTTCGAGGGCGACTTTTGGCCCGGCATCCTGGAGGAGAGCATCCGTGAGCTCGACCAGGAGGAGGAGGAGAAGCGAAAACAGCTGGAGGCGGAGGAGGCGCGCGCTGCCGCCGCTGCTGAGACCGAGATCGAGAGCCCCGCGCCCGACGGCAAGAAAAAGGGAGCCATCAAGAAGCAGAACAAGAAAAACACCAAGTCGAAGACCTCCAGCAAGAACAAGTCGAAAAAGTCCAATCAGAGCGGCAACGATCTCTCGACCAAGGTGTTCGCTCTGATGGAGAAGCACAAAGAGGTGTTTTTCGTGGTGCGCCTGCACTCTGCGCAGTCGGCGGCCAGCCTGCAGCCGATCCAGGACCCCGACCCGCACATCCCCTGTGAGCTGATGGATGGTCGCGACAACTTCCTGAGCATGGCGCGCGAGAAGCACCTCGAGTTCTCCTCGGAGCGGCGCGCGCTGGCCGCCACGCAGCACATGCTGTATGAGCTGCACAACCAGAACCAGGAGACGGTCGTCTACACGTGCAATACCTGCAAGAATAATATCGATACGCGCTACCACTGCACCGTCTGTGATGTAAGTTGGAGTTCTTCAAGGGGTGTTGTTACAATTTTGCTGACTAGCATTATCTTCAGTTAAAGTAATAAAAAAAAACGGCTACATGGTTCTTGTTCAGCTGTAGAGTACAATTGTTGCGCTTTCTTGACATTTTGATGAACTTCAATGATTGTTTGTAGAAACACTCACTTTTTAATATTGTCAGTTTTGAATTTTATTTTATGTTTTGTTCCGCGTTTTCGTGGGTACTGATAATCATGTGTGCCCGGCAGGATTTCGACCTTTGCGCCACTTGTTACGAGAAGGAGCGGCACCCGCACAAGATGGAGAAGCTCGGCTTCGACCTGGACGGCGAGACGTCGGACCGGGCCGGCCAGACGGCATCCGACCTGCGCCGCCAGTCGCTCGAGCGCTGCATCAAGTCGCTGGTGCACTCGTGCCAGTGCCGCGACGCCAACTGCCGCCAGCAGAGCTGTCAGAAGATGAAGCGCGTCGTCTCGCACACCAAGAGCTGTCGCAAGAAGGTCAACGGCGGGTGCCCCATCTGCAAACAGCTTGTGGCGGTGTGCTGCTACCACGCCAAGTGCTGCAAAGAGGACAAGTGCATGGTGCCCTTCTGCGGCAGCATCAAGTCGCGGCTGGCGCAGCAGCAGATGCAGGCGCAGTTGCAGCAGAAGGCGCTCCTCCACCGGCGTATGGCCATGATGCGATCGTCGAGCGGCGGCAGTATGGCTGCCTCCGTGCAGGCGGCCGCGGCCGGCGCCGCCGCCGCCGCTGCCTCCTCGTCCGCCGCGCCGTCGGCCACCGTGTCGCAGCCGGCGGCGCCGCCGCAGCAGCAGCAGCGGCCGCTGCCTGGCGGGCCGGGCGTCCCGCCGGCGACGGCGGCCGGCCAGCCGGGCGGACAGGGACCGCCTGCCAACGTGCTCATGGCCGTCAAACGGGTGAGTGATGCCGGAGAACGCCGCAGCGTCTGCTGACGCCTGCTTGACGGGCTAAACGTTGGATATATTTTGCCTAATGCATAGGGATGGGAAAGAAAGTCACAATCTAAATCGGTTATTTGCTTTTTGGGATTGCCTTAGGCTGTGTTGTGTATATGAATCTGTTCTTCAGTATTCGTCTCAACTTCGCATATTTAATTGCGATGGTATTTAAAATGTCAGTATATACTATATAACGTCATTAAACGACCAGTCCTGGGTCCAGTGCCCTGCTCGGGGACTGCAATTACTTTTTCAGGTATGAACAGTTTATTTTTTTGTGAGCTCTCCATTTTTTTTTTAATTCCACCTGTTTGTGTGTCTGTTTGGAGTTTTTGTTTCCCGGCCACAAGGCCGCCCGGTGGACGCGTGTAACAGCGGCATCGCTCTCCCCCGCAGGTGCAGGAGGCCGCCGCCCGACAGCACGCCAACCAGCCGGCCGTCGGGTACGGCAAGAACAACCCTCCCGTCGGCGGCATGACACCGCAGCAGCCGTCGCAGCAGCAGATGCAGCCGCAGCAGATGCAGATGCAGCAGCAAATGCAGCAGCAGCAGCAGCAACAGCAGCGGATGCCCATGCAGCAGCCAATGGCCAGTCAGGCTGCGCGCATGCAACTGCCGGCAATGAACGATTGGGGCAACAGGTACGGCACATACATTTAATTCATGGTCCGGCAGAGAACGGGGTCGCTGCGGTTGCTAGGACATGGTCACCGTCGTCACTTCGATGTTCAACATTTTTATGTGTGTCTGGAAATCAGCATGTAAGTCGAGGATTTGAGACATGTACGCCATTTTTTCCGCAGTTGACCCGTTGACCTTTATCTGGCCATTCGCCAAGTACTCAAAAAGCAAGCTTTATTACTTGAACCACGCTTTGTGTAGAACCGCTATCCACGTATAGATGTGGGCAGTACTGTTCGGATGCACGTTTTTGGATGATAACTGGAAAGCTGCACCGTTACAATATTTTTAATGCACATCACGTCGAACGTCCCTAATTTCCAGAAAAGTAGGATGTCGCCCTTCGTCCATTCGTATATATTGATTTTTATTACGGGGACTGGGATGGGCGCCTCCTCCTTAACCACTTTGGTCTAAATATCCTGATTTTAATCACCCTTTTCCATAGAAGAGATTGAAATGTCGCATATAACTTAATTTCTGATCGTCATGGCGCAGAATCATCTGAAAGTCGTTTGAGAGTTTCGTGTCATAGCTTGCGTTTCTTCTCACATTTTGTTTGAGATTCATGCAATTTTAATGCTATCATGTTAGGGTAATTATTTGATCAACAGTAATTATTTGATCAACAGTTCCAGCGTCTTTAACTTATCTGGTAACGGCATCCAGGCGTGTAAATAATAACAGATGACCCAGCTCCTCCGTAACTCGACCTTGGTGTGTTATATCTTGACGTAGCTGCAGACTTCTTTGTATCCATGCTATTTATTCGCCTGAGTCTGCTTCCTGAGTCCTGAGGCCACGACTGAAGGTATCCGGTTCTGACCGCCGTGTCTCCGTGTGCGCAGGTTGGCGGGGCCGGGCGCGGCCGGGGCCTCGCCGGGCGTGTCGGTGCCGGGCGCCGGGCCGGCGCTACAGCAGCCCGCTCCCGTGGCCACGGCCGGCGCCGCGGGTCTGCTGCGCGGCGCCGGCGGCCAGCAGGGCACGCCGCGAAACAACATACCCGGCCTGCAGGAGCTGCTGCACAGCCTCAAAAACCCGACCGGGCCGCAGGCGCACCAGAACGTGCTGCAGATCCTCAAGTCACACCCGCAGCTGATGGCCCAGGTGATCAAGATGCAGCACCAGAAGCAGCAGAACCAGCAGCAGCGGCAGATGGCCCAGCAGCAGCAGCAGCAGCAGCAGGTGCCTGACGGCCAGCAGCCGATGCAGATGCAGCCGGGAGTGATGCAGCCGCCGGTCCAGCAGCAGCAACAGCAGCAGCAGCAGCTCCAGCAGCAGCGGATGCCGACCGGCGGCATGGTGGTGCAGAACCAGATGCAGCCGGGCCAGATGACCCAGCAGCAGGCGTGGGCCAAGCAGCAGCAGCTGATTGCCATGCACCGCCAGCAACAGCAACAGCAGGCGCAGCAGCAACAGCAGCAGCAGCAGCAGCACGGCTTCCAGCAACCGCAGGCGATGCAGTACGGACAGCGGCCGCGCATGGGCATGGGAATGCAGCCGCAGCAGCACTTCCAGCAGGACGGCAGCCAGTTCGGCGGCCAGTTCACGCAGCAGCAGCAGCAGCAGCAGATGCTGATGCAGCGGCAGCAGCAGTCGGCCTCGCCGCACCAGTCGCTGATGGGCCTCCCGGGCGGCATGGCGCCGTCGCCACAGCAGATGCTGCAGCAGGTGGTGTCGCCGCCGCCCGGCTCGGCCGGCCTGCCGGTACGCTCGCCGCAGCCGCTCAGCTCTCCGCGTCAGACGCTGGGCGGCTACCACGCGCCGTCACCGCACCGGCCCGCCTCGCACTCACCGCACCCGGCCGCCGCCGGACACGGCATGGCCGGCGCGCCCGAGCTGGGCACCAACGAGATGCTGCTCTCGCAGCTGACGGGCGTGTCGGCGGCGGGCCACGGCGGACTCCAGCTGCCCGGCCACCCGGGACAGCACCCGGCCGGCGCCGGCGCCGACAACGCCGACAAGCTCTCAAAGTTCGCCGACACGTTGTAGCGCCGGCCGGCCCGCCGCCCACCCTAGCCGGTGTCCGTGAGTGTGCGTGTGATATTTGTACTGTGGGGCGGCCGGCCTGCATGTGGTGGCCGTGGCCGCTCGAGCGCCCCGGCGGACGGCCCGCCGGCAAGGGCGGGCCCGTGGACCAGGGGGCCTCGGAGGGACACGGGCCGCGGCGCCCGCTTGCCAATGTTGCGCCCGCTGTGCCGCGCATCGCATTGAACTGTACATAGCGCATTGTCCAGATTTTATTTCACATGTGCATCACGTTTGTGTTGATTTGTGTACAGATGGTACAGTCTCTTCTCTTTTTTACTATTTATCATAGCTGCTGGTGTAGACAGTGTTGCAGATAGACTGGCCCGGTGGAAACCGAATACTGAACTGCTGCAGCGCCCGGGCGTCTTAGAATGTGACATTCCACCGAACTTTCTCCTATCTTAGAGGGGCAGTGAAGGGAGGGAGAGCGACGCGCGTCGGCTGCTGTTGCGTCGCCGCGGTTGTTATGTTGTGCTGAGGCAACCCGACTTGAACCTGTACAGTACGTGCTGCTTGTAAAGAAAACGAGAAAACCATTTTCGCGTCCTTTTTTACCGGGGGTAATCAGTACAAAAATGGTCATTGCCCTAGTTGTTAGCACATTGTAAGATGATCATTGTAATAAAATCTCAACAATTATTGGATTTGGTGCGATCGCAGTTTTCACCTAGTCTGCTGGGTCAATTGCCAATTTATTTCAAATGAGAGTTCGACTGAATGTGTTAAAATGGCACTGACTTGCGATTTGTTCTGATATGTTGATTGTTGAACAAAATCAACTGCATAGGGATTGTCCTGGCGAGGAATCGTTTCTGTGCGAGACCTAAACTGATTAGTTTTGAGTGCTCGTGAAAGGCGTTACTGTTTTTTATTCAAAAGAACGGGAGTTTTAACATGTGTAATAACTGCAAGTGTGAGATGTTTAGGAATGTACGGAGAGTACGTTGAGCTAACTGGTCAAAGTATGGCTGCATTCAGCTCGAATGGAAAATAAAATGTTTTGTGAAATATCCTGAGTACTCGGCTCGTAACAGGGCTGAAGTGTTAAAAAATGCCGCATTTTGGAGGGTCTGACGGAATACGAAGGTGTAAAGGAAGCGAACGGAGTAGCCAGTTATCCATGCTGGACTCTGCCAAACCTGCAGTAGCGATGCAATTTGCTAACCTGAGATACACGGAACTTGAAATAGTTGGGTTAAGAAGGCTTCTTGGCTAATAAAGTGACAGGTGGACCACGATGAAGGCATGGGAAGAAAAGGTAGGGCCATTTATGAGGCTCCCAGCGTTCCCACTCAGCGCTAAAGTGACATGCTGGAAATGGAGCTCATCATGCACCAGGGCTACTACACCAGGGGTCATCATGCACCAGGGGTACTATGCACATGACTAGGTACTTAGTGCCGCTTAGTACCGACACTACAGTGAAGTTGGACGCCTGGGTCGAAAGGCTACGCGTCCTTCGCCAACGTGATCCCAACAAGAACAAAAAAAAAAAAGACACAAGCGCACGCCTGCTGAGGCAGGGCCTTGGCTGAGGCTGGCCACTGGCCAGCGAGCCGATACCTTCCTCTTGACATTTCCGGATTGTTTATTGCCCTGCCCGCCCCTCTGTACCCTATATCAGGCCTTGCTCTGTGCAGTAGCGGCGGCACCCCTAAAAGTGTGGGGGGGGGGGCACTGCCGACTTTTCGTTCCATTCTTTCCATGCAACGTCCGTAGGGCTAATGTTAAAATGGCAAAATCAAGTGGGGCACGGTGCCTTGGTGCCGCCTCCCCCCATTCCGCCGCCATAGAGAACTACCGGCACGCATTTCCCGCACGTGAAATGAAAAAGCCGTACAGGTAATTCACCAGCTACCATTTGTCACGTGATTTCTGGTTAAAAAGAGATGTTTAAATAGTTAATTGTTTCACAGCCATTAAGATATTTAGTGATAATCCAAAAACTATTGTAAAAATCAATATCATCGAGAAATATAAAAAGATATAGACAACAATTCACTTTATTATCTGAGCATAATTGCTAGAACCACGTGGTATACTGAACTAGCCCCACAGCCCTTGGCCTTGACCAGCCAAACATATGCGTCCCCACGTGAGGTGTTTCTAGTGTTATGATCGTAAGCGTGCATTTCTTGATAATTGTACAAGGCTAGCTATTCCAAATTATTGCTGCCATCTATATATCATTACCATTCTTACGCGGGCTTTTGCCCTAACCTAACGGTAATCATTGGTAAAACAAAGGTAAAACAAAACACCTACCTGACCCTCTGCGCCACAAATGTCTCAATTGCGTGCCTATCGAAATCTCGACTCGTTTTAAGATGTTTCGTTTTAAATACATAATCAGAACTAAGGCTTGACCATATCTGAAGGAAAATCCAGACTACCTGTGTCCTGTGGTCCTTAAAGGAAATAGTTCACTTTCACGAAATTATTTTTTTTGCAACGGATTTATGATTTTTTATGTTCAAAATAATCAGCAAAGAAAATAAAACCTTTTTGAAACAAAATATTATTTTCTATATTTTGATATAGGAAGAACTTTTCAGTTTCTGTAAGGCACACGCCGATCCAGTATGAAAAGAGCATGGGTCCCGAAAATTCTTCAGAAACAGAGAAATTATCGCAGCCACCGGCATTTGGGCGATCTGCTCGATCTGATAATGTTCCCCTGAATGTCCTAATTGATCAGTACGAGAATTTCTCTAGAGTTCTCGTAGATAATTTCTCTAGTTTCTGAAGAATTTTCGGGGCCCATGCTCTTTTCATACTGGATGGAAATATATGCAAGGCACACATCCTCAACGCAAGACACCTTTTTCGGGACGAGAAATAGAATATCTTTGCCTAGGGTGATCGTTGGGCTGTAAAAGCTCCTGACTTATGCTCGTCTCAGCCCAAGCTACGGAACTGCTATTCCAGTTCAAAACCCATGTTAAAAAGTGAACTATTTCCTTTAAGTAAAGTATGTGCGTGTCCCACATTTGATCATGATCGCGTTTGCTTGCGATCTGTCTTGCTCAGAATAAGACTGAGACACGTCAATAGGAAATATAAATGGGTTGGCTGCACTGTGGGTCATGCACATTCAGTCAAGAAAATCATGAATGATATGGACGATCAGTCCAGAAAAGCCTGATAGGCCGGATTATCAGGATTGGCAGTGCCAGTGAAGCTTCAAATGAAGCTCTGAGCTCTTAACTTTTTTCCAGAATCTGTGTGTTTCTGTGACATGAGACAGTTGTTGCCGCACTATGTGAATCCAAGGGATGGAATTAAGCATTGTTTTCATCATTTTTTGTCTTAAAATCACTTCATATCAATATTAGCTTTCCCTATGTTCCCTTAAAATTCTCTGTCCTTGTGAATTCTTTCATTCAGATCAAGATAAATTGTATAAATTTGCTATGATATTTATAAGAATACCTTTTCAGATGTAAAAATACAGCTTTTCTCTCTGATGCCAGGTTCCCTCAAAGCCTTAACATCTCAAGCTAAGGCTATGAATGAGGAGAATGTGGAAGGGGCCACAGAGGTGGAGAGTGCTTTTGAGGCCCTGACCAAGCCAGGGCCTCTTTGTCAAGAGGAGCTTAAGGACCAGACAGATGACCTGGAACTATGGATCGTGCGTGCACCAGCACAGGTCAGTGCCCACACCAGCATCGTCCCTTCCCTTCAGTAAAGATAATGCAACAGATTCATTTCAGCAGTCAATATATTCTCCATGAACTGGGCACATGGAGAGACACCAGCGGGTATGTTGGGCACAAAATTCTGGAGATTCTTAGGGCTAAGGGTTGATGTTTGCCCAGTTTCACTGGAGCACCCTTTGGCGCTGTGCAGGTTTGCTGAGTGGTTCGGTTCTCTGGGGTAATTTGATTGGACTTAGGTTAGACCAGTTCCCTATCCATGCTCCCTTCGCCCAGCTATCGAATAGATGCTCTTGGCGCCATCTCTAAATTCTGGCAGACCGACAAGCAAGAGCACCGTCCTGCATGAAAAGGCTGGCTGACCTGATTTTTCTTTAATTTTGGTCCTACACGAGTTTTATGGGCCTTCAATATGAGTGTGTCCCTCCAATACCGTCGGACAATTTTCCCAGACCCCGGATGATTCTACAGTGCTCAGATTTCCTAGGTGATTTCGTCATGACGATTTTGGCGACGGTTGAAATGCGGAAGAGGCGCCCTGATTGGGGTCTATATTTGACGCTCCCCTTCTCCTTAAACTTCTTTTACCAACGCGCCAACGCTGAACCCGCGCCCTGGTGGGGTCTGATTATAACGCGACCTGATGGGGGGTCTATTTTTGTCCCCTCCCCGTATCTCCGAAACTCTTGGACGGATTCGCAAAACTCGAATGGCGTTCGATAACATCACAGTTCAGGTCAAAGCTAAAATGTTTTGCCGTTCACGGACCTTCTAGGAAATGCGTTATACGTCGAGCAAAACGCATTTAATCGAAAATTATTGGTAAAGCGTCGGTTCACAATTGCCTGGTACAGTCTGTCTTAACCCTCGCCTGATAGATGTTTTTCCAGCCGCGAACGTATAAGGGGGGGGGGGTCCGTTGGACCCCCTTGCCGTTTCGCCCCTGATCGAGCTAGAGCTTCGCGGAAAAACGAGCGTGTTGCCCGTGACGAGAGGAAGCCGATGATACCCAATTTTAAGGTCCTAGGTCATCGGTTGACCTTCCAAGTCAGGTCAATGACCCAAAAGTCGGGGAAAATCGGGACCTGTTAGAAAGTCGTAAAGCGTGGCTGCTAAGGGGTTTTTCCGGGGTGCTGATCACGAATATCGTTTTGATCACAGATGATGTCGTTAAGCGTTTAGACCAGGTCGGGTCAGGTCAGGTCAGGTCAACCGGTAGGGGTCGTGACGGGTATTCGTAGTACCTGTCATCCGCCTCTGACAGCTTCGTAACATGTTACGAAGGCACCAAAAGAACTTCGTAAATGTTCAAATGGTTGCTAAATTCGAATTCAGCTCCAAAAACTAGCCTAGAAACATGTAAAACTCGAAAAAGTGAACCGAGGTCACCAAAGATCAATGACCTGACCTGACCTTCAGGTGACCTTGGCACCTACCCTAATGCATGGGAGCAACATCAAATCACATTTTTTTTTTTAATAAATTTAGTTCGAATGTTTGAATGGACGGATTGACAGAGCCGGAGCCCACGCTAAGCAGAGCTTGTTGCGTAGACCCCGACCCCTACCGTCCGATCGCGCAATTCCGGGTAACGGGAGAATTTGGATGCCAAAGTTTAACGTGCCCTTCAAAGCCGGACACGGCCTGTCCCACTCAACTGACTTCAACTGACTGCGGCTGCTCCCACCAACCGCAGACCATCCCCGTCAGGAGTCTCAAATATCGAGCGCCGGAGCGTCTCGAACCCGGGTTCTCACCACCGGGAGTCCAATGCTCTACCAACTGAGCTACGGGACAGAAGAACATGTATGAACGTTTGAAACCACGAAAAGCTTGCAAACGCGCGGCTAATGCGATTCCGGCCAAACATGGTCTCGGAAAAGAGGTCAAAGGTCATTTGGGTCAGGGTCATGAAATTTTCAGGGTAGGTGTAAAATTGATCAATTCGAGGGTACTGAAAGTTTCGTTGCGATCGGCCGCTTTTTACGCGAGTTATTCGCGAAAAACCTTAGGGGGGTTGCATCAACCCCCCCCCCCTGTGCCGGCGAGGGTTAAAGGGACACTCCCACCTTAACATTAGTTTTGAGTTGAGATAGCCAAATTGGTGGCCATGGCCTGCAAATACCGGTTTGGGCACTCACAACATCGACAAATGCTTTAATTCGGAGATATGGAATTTCAAACTTGCAGTTTTCGGATTCTAAGGGGCTAGTGCATTGGTATGCCCCTTAGAATTTGTGACGTCAGCGGAGATCTAACGATTTTTAAATCTTTTACTAAAACGTTTGGTAGCACGCGGTGGTATATGCTGCTTTGCGCGCAACAAATGCCGCACTTTCAAATAAAGTCGCTAGGAACAG